AATATTTTGTTTTGTTTTTAGTGCATTTTGTTTTGTTTTTAGTGTATTTTGTTTGGAAGTCGGTTTTGTTTTTTTATTAAAAAGTTTTTTTCTTTTAATTCCACGCGGAAGAAGTTGCAGGCGAAAGATAGTAATATATCAAATATAAACATTTCACAAATTCTACTTACCATCAAGGCAAGAATATTTGACATGCACGATGCCGTGCGGCCAGTCCGCCGCCGGAGGATGAGTTTTCTTCAGAATGAAGCTACAGTGGCTGGCCCCGTTGCATCTGGAAACATTATTTAATGCTTAAACAGAAGTATTTTTAAAACAATATTTTTACTTTACGACTCAGATATATATGCCAGAGAAGCATGTAACTGCCAATTTGCTTTCTACAATGGTCATTTTAAAAAGAAGATATTACAAACACGTCATAAAGAACATCGTTTACATATAATCTCTCTATATGATAAACTTTTTATATATGATTACATTAGTAATCACTCAATCTTTATTATCACATAGGGTAAATTAAATGAATAAAATTCCTCGCGACGACGCTGATGTTCAACTTCGACATAAATTAAATTTGTCACAAATTAAGTTCTCGCAAGGAAACTGACGACAGGCGCAATTTAAGTTAACTCGCGTCTTTGATAGCGCGTAACCTCTGACTAAACTATCGCACAACTGTTATGCGATTTCGCAGCCAATTCAACTGTTTAGTTGCACAGATAAAATCGAGTAGTGTCTGCACCTCCATAAAAGCTAATAATGTTAGGAACAAAATAAGTACCGTGCTGTAGAGTTGGCGCAACTCTAGATTATCGGCATAAACGTCACGTCCCTAGCTGACAGCTGTCAATGTCACTAGAAGTATAGATAGATTGGCGCGCATAGAGAGTGGCGAGAAGTATTGCTCTGAGTTTAAGCGACAGTATCAATTAAATAAGTTGTCTAAAAATAGGAATCAAAGCGAGACTAAGCAGTTGTAAGACATTTTAGTCAAAGTTGTGCGCGCGCTTTAAACATTCACAATTCTGTAATTAATTCTAAGGATACTGATATTAACTCAATATTACTGATAATTGAATAAAAATATCTAAGTACCTTACTATATTTCACTATCTAAATCTACACTAAAGTCTAACTACACTAAAAACTAAAGTCTAATTTCATATTCCATTACGTCACAACAATCAAGCACCTGGTAAATAAAACAATGTCACGGTTCATCGGGTCAAATGAAACGGTCAATTATAACCAAATGGATCTGCGGTGTTCTTTCCAAATTATTACAATAGACTGGCATAACCCTTTTATAACAATAGTAAAGATCGCTTGATAATCAAAGGATTTACAAAACTCTTTAAAGTAACAAATTTATTAATAACTTAAGCGCCAACAGCCTAATGGTTTGGAGTACGAACTATCGATCTTGCGGTCGAGGGTTCGAATCCTGCCTTTCGACTGTCGTGAACCATATCCTAGCACAAGCTTAGTTGGAATCGTTAAAGGTAATATAAGTGAAAATCTCCATTAATGTTTAGTGTTTTCGCAAAGTCGGATATGTGAAAGGAATATCAATACTCTGGTCATAAAATCCAGACATCTTTGCTCTTTACACTGAAAACATATTTTTTTACATTAACGTAGTTTCATCGTCATATCCAGTGTTTTAAGTGATGATTACGCCTTAGTTAATCACACTTACACAATACTCTCTTTCGGACGTATTCTAGTTCCATCAAATTCCATCTAGTGACTAGAAAATTGAGCCAATGAGTCACGCGTAAATCGATAATTAACTACACACAGTAGACGCACTTCGCCAACAAAACGGAACAAGCAGTTTAACGAAAATGGCGCCGCTTCCGTTCCGCAAGTGTGTCACGCGGAGTAACACTTCCGATACCGCTAAAGGCCGAATTGTATCACCTTAATGCGTAACACAAAATACATACAAATTATAAATGAAATAAAGATAAATGAAATGAAGACTTAAGTCAAAAATTTTGTATTTCAAGGTTCACTGAATTCACTCCAAGAACTTTTGTAGAGCACCTTCATCATCTTTCCTGAATGTGGCAAATAGAGTAGTCGATGATTTTCGGTAAACAATTATTCTATAGTCCGAAGCAAATGATATCAGTTAAAATAATCTCGACTAGAGATAGATCCTCAATTTATACTAATACTAGCTTTCCCCCGCGACTCCGTCCGCGTGGCATTAAAAAATAAAAGTGAGTAGCCTATGTGTTCTTCCAGACTAACCTTTACGTCTATGCCAAGATTCATGGAGATCCGTTCAGCCGTTTAGTCTACAAACTCTAACAAACATCCATCCATCCAACCAAACTTTCACATTATAAATGCAAAAGTTTACATGGATGGATGAATGGATGTTTGTTTATTAGAGTTTGTAGCTTAAACTGCTGAAGGGATTTCGATGAAATTTGGTAAAGATGTAGAGGATAGTCTGGAAGAACACTTAGGCTACTCACTTTTTATAAAAACTACATATCAACAAACCGTATCGCCCTCTCCCTAAATTCACTGGATATGGCTCGCAAACTGAATAATTGGTCGTATAGACTCGCATTATTTGCTTGCCCTTGGCCCGCCTAGATACCGAATTGTTCTTTTGTTGAACTATATAAAAGAACCGATACTATAAATAAAATACATGTTTCAGATCAAATCGACATACACGAATAGCAAAACACATCTTTCATTGAGTTTTCTAAAAAGATAAACACAAAAACATCGGTATTTCAAACAACACAACTGGTGCACTAGCAAATAAACTCGAACTTTTTAAAACAAAACACAACACTCTTAAGACAGAAAAATTTGAAAATCGAACGTAAAAAGGCATAGATTTTTGATAACTGATGGCAAATAATGGCAAATAAAATATAGTGCAAAATAATGCGAGCTTTGTGACAATAATTTCGCTCTAATGGAGTGCAATGAGAGAATTAAAATGCAGATTGTCTGCTGAATTCGTTAGCATTCTGCGAACAAACTCGGCTGCGGTTGTTATGTAACTATGTCGAGTATCGCTTCGTTGCTGTTGCGAATGTTGCTTCACAATCCATGTCTCACAAAGTCAGAACATCTAGACATCATTATACCTTACTGGCGGCTGCCCCCGGCTTCGTCCGCGTGAAATATAGTAGTTCAAAAGTTAGTCCCCTTATTCAAAGCTTAAGCAATCTAGTAAATTTATTGTTTATTAAGATGTAAGCACAATAAAATGTGTTTATTTACATGACATTAGACACCTCTAAAAATATCAGTATTTCCCTACTACGTATAAACCTTCTTTTTGTGTCATTCTATAAAAATACTGTATCAAAATCCGTTGCTTGACTTTAAAGTTTTAAGCGTCCATAGAAACAGACAGACAGTGGGTAGCGACTATGTTTTATACAAAATAGTCATAATAGATAGGCTAATTTGCTTAGATTTACGTATAATTCTACGTCAAATGGAAGTCCGAGGTCTCTGCTTACCTCTAAAGCCAAAATCGATTATTTATCAAGTCTATTAATGTTTACAAAGCGTATTCCTAAGTTTAACATATAAACAGGCACTAAGTGACTGTTTAAGTGGCCAATAAAGGACTCAAAGTAACGGTAAGTATGTTCTGCAGTTACATAAGTGAATATAAGTTAGTATAATTATGCGTAGACAGTTAAAACCTTTACTTTATGTAAGGCTTCAGGATATTGTGGGTTGTAACTTAATATGCTCTATGTACTCTATTGCTAACGTATTTTTTTTTAAATTATTTTTTTTAAAAAAGGAGTCAAACGAGCGGCGGGAACACAGAGGTGGTCAACGACGTCTATGGACATCCGCAACACTAGAGGAATAGATGCGTTGCCGGCCTTTGAGCAAATTGTATGCTCGCTTCTTGAAGGACCCTAAGTTTGGAGATACCCCCGAGAACAGACCGTTCCACAACGCGGCTGTTTAAGGTAAAAAGTTTCATATATGCACATGTACAGTCGCGGAAATACGAGGTGTTCAGGAAAAATTGCCGTGTTCATTGCAACGAGTCAAACTCCTCTTCCTACAAATATCTAATTAGATAGCAGTGAGTGGAAACGAAGCGATTATAAGAAAAAAGCGTGTATCGTCATATTTTTCGTAAATACACATTTAAAAGCGTTGTATTGACTTTTTCCGCGTCTCGTACCAAAATGGTTAAATGATTGTAGTTTTTGAGTTGTACCACCGCCAATTTCCCTGATTGTACCTAAACATCTATAATGTATGTTACAGAATTTTAGACTTATGTATCTTCCAGTTATAGCAAAGGCTTAAAAGTAATTAGCAAATAAATTATAAGGGTTTCGTTGTAATTTACGAATTTCTGCCTTAAACCTATTAGAAGTTGAAAAGTCTTGTTAGTACATCAATTTTTAAAGACTTTGTGATTGAAGTTTCAAATTATATACGTTTTTACTTATAATAGAAGTTGTTATAAAATCTACATAAATTAATAATATACAAAAGAGGCGGACAGAAACAATATGAACTTATCAAATCAAATAAAACATTTCGAATTATAAACTTTTATCCTAAATGCTTGGAAGTATTTAATATCGGACATAATAATGTTATTACCAAAGTTTTTGCGCCTGAATCTTAAGTTATTCATACAGATAACGTCTCGTTTGACTTACTTGAAGATTTATGTAATACATTAAAGTCTTTGTACAACTCACGGCTGAATACTGAAACGAAACTAAAATTTTCAATGGTGACTTAAACCACAAGGCCACTATCAACAAGAAGAAAGCGGTATTTAGTATTTGTCTAATAATAAAGAGAAAGTAAAAACTGTTTTATCTTACTAATATTTTATATGCAAAAATTTAGATGAATGGATGGATGTTTGTTAGAGTTTGTAGCCTTAACGGTTGAACGGATCTGGATGGAATTAGGCATGGATGTAGGTTATAGTCTGGAAGAACACATAGGCTACTTGCTTTTTTTTTAATTCCACGCAGACGAAGTCACGGGCGAAAGCTAGTTATTATTATAAAAGCTGGAAAGTGTAGAACAATGGCAGAATAGCGTGCTATGAAACGCTAGTCGGTTGGCGAAAAAAAAAATGTCTAGCCCTTCATGCTTCGCGAACAAGAAAAAAGTCATTCTTTTTTCATGTTCAACGGATTCTTGACTTATCACCAAGTTTTTCTTGACACTGGAATTTCACCCCTTGTCGGTTGGTCGAAGTAGACCTCCACAAACCCCACCCTCTTAAACTCA